ATTTATTTATTTATTTATTTTAATGTTATAAAAAACAAAAACAAAAAAAAAACTCAATTTCATCGAGAAAGTTCTCACTGATCCTGTCGCGCGCGGGCTCTGTAATCGCCTTGGCAACCGGAACTCGGTGACATTTCCCTGTCGCGCGCGACAACTCCCGTGCGCGCGCTCTCTCTCTCTTTCTCTCTCTCTCTCTCTCCATGTGATGTGATAACCTCACACGTCCTTCCCTCGTCGGCTCGCCGTGAAGGAAGCGGACTCTCACCGCAGCACCGGGTGTCGGGCGACTTCGTTTCTTTCCGTGTGTCTTCGTTCCTCTCGGCCGGATGTCAACATGCCCGTCCGGCGCGGACACGTCGCTCTCCAGAACACCTACCTGGACACCATCATCCGCAAATTCGACGGTCAGAGTGAGTGGATGCGCAGCACCGCAACTTCACCCCACACAGGCTCCAGCACCATCCATCCCTACCAGCCCCGCGCTGCTAAATACTTCGTTGCCATAGTAACCACGTTCACAAGTTTCGCCGTGCTGCCCGGTGCTTGTAGCGTTAATCTGACGTGTCTGCAAAACATCTGCAGAACAACAACAACTGCATGGTTACTTCTGTACTGAACTAACGACTGTTCGATGCATTTATTTTGACGCAAGAAAACATTTCGAATATTCCAGTAAATAGTACTGATGCTCGCGTGGTAGATTTGTTTTGTAAATATGTGTGTGTGTGTGTGTGTGTGTGTGGTGTGAATAATTCAAAACCTTTGATCGGATGTCTCCCGGGTCAAACTGCGTCACGCGTACGGAGATGTGGCGCGTGTACGCTCTCGAGACTGAACCAACCCGGTACTTGTTTTGCCGAACGATCAAGGGGACCACTTTAGTACCTTTTTAGTATGTGTATCTTTTTTGTAGCGTCTTTAGAGCGTCGAGACGAGCCGGAGAACGACCCGACGCGTCGTCCGGGCGAGGAGACACAAGGAAGACGCTCCGGCGGCAGACCTGCGACGAAAGCGATCCGAGTCGGCGCGATATCCCGAATCGGGGATCCGAGCGCGCCGCGTGCGTTTCGGACGTTCCGTGCTTCGAGCGAGCTCGAGGTTCGTTTTCGGGGCCGCTAGATGCGTGGTACGTTCACGCTTCGGTACGCCGTGTTACTTCGCGTGTTCGAAAGCGGCCTGTTTGTACGTCCTGTTACGGTGTTACACCGCCGAAATGGGCTTTTACAACCGGACAGGCTCGGCTCTAAAAACGAACACAGGGTTTGAAGATGAACGAACGGTACCCAAGTCTTTGTTTTGAATGTACAACCCAGCAACAAGAAGCGTTACAGTCTTTTTCTGAGAGAGAGAGAGAGAGTGTGTGTGTGTGTGTGTGTGTGTGTGTGTGTGTGTGTGATTCTTGATTTCCTTCCTCTTTCACATGTTGCGCACTCACGATAAGGTCTTTCATCGTGAAGAGCGTCCGCGTCGACGTCAGCGGAGTTACTTGTCCATATTAATGTGTACGTACACCTGTTTACACATTCAGGACTGTTTGTTTCTGAGCCTGTCCTGCTGCTCTGTCACGCTCTGTTTCGTTCACTCTTCTGCTATCTTTAGCCCCGCCCCACCCCCCACCCCCCGCTCCCCCTGTGGGAGGCTGCCTGATGTGTGAACCACAGGGCTGATGTTATATATAGCTCTTTCCGACACTAGTTAATGCTCTAGATCCGAGTAATGAACTAATCCACGCCCAAGCCTCCATGGCTGCGAAAGCAATAGACGAAACGCTCCTTAAGAACCCGATAAGAACGCCGAAGTGCTTCCTGTGGTGCCAGTCAGGTGACTCTCTGCTCCTCCTGTATCTATTCGGGTATATACATCTGTACACGTGGAGGGTGGGCGGAGGTGAGAAGGTTGACCGATTCAGACTGACGGAGCCGAGACGTTTACGTAACTGGAAGTAAATCAGCGTTAATGCTGTAGCCGTAGAAATGAAAATCGCTAAGCAACGACAACGCAAGAGAGTCGACGGGCAGCTCCTGCCACATTGCAAAACAATGTGCATTGGGGAAAAGTCTCAGTCCCAGTGGAGGAGGTGTGGCCTCTGTGTTTGTCAGTCCCAGTGAAGGAGGCGTGGTTTTATGTCTGTTGGTACCTGTGAAAGAGGTGTGGTCGTATATTTAGTTCCAGTGGATAGGCGTGGCCTCTGTGTATTTAGTTCCATCGGAGTAGGCGTGTCCTCTGTGTATTTAGTTCCATCGGAGTAGGCGTGTCCTCTGTGTATTTAGTTCCATCGGAGTAGGCGTGTCCTCTGTGTATTTAGTTCCATCGGAGTAGGCGTGTCCTCTGTGTATTTAGTTCCATCGGAGTAGGCGTGTCCTCTGTGTATTTAGTTCCAGTGGAGTAGGCGTGGCCCTGTGTGTTTAGTTCCATCGGAGTAGGCGTGTCCTCTGTGTATTTAGTTCCATCGGAGTAGGCGTGTCCTCTGTGTATTTAGTTCCATCGGAGTAGGCGTGTCCTCTGTGTATTTAGTTCCAGTGGAGTAGGCGTGTCCTCTGTGTATTTAGCTCCCGTGGAGTAGGCGTGTCCTCTGTGTGTTTAGTTCCAGTGGAGTAGGCGTGTCCTCTGTGTTTTTAGTTCCTGTGTATTTAGTTCCAGTGTGTTTAGTTCCAGTGGAGTAGGTGTGGCCTCTGTGTATTTAGTTCCAGTGGAGTAGGCGTGTTCTCTATGTTTTTGTTCCAGTGGAGTAGGTGTGGCCTCTGTGTATTTAGTTCCAGTGGAATAGGCGTGTCCTCTGTGTGTTTAGTTCCAGTGGAGGAGGTGTGGTCTCTGTGTATTTAGTTCCAGGGGAGTAGGCGTGTCCTCTGTGTGTTTAGTTCCAGTGGAGTAGGTGTGTCCTCTGTGTGTTTAGTTCCTGTGGAGTAGGCGTGTCCTCTGTGTGTTTAGTTCCTGTGTATTTAGTTCCAGTGTGTTTAGTTCCAGTGGAGTAGGTGTGGCCTCTGTGTATTTAGGTCCAGTGGAGTAGGCGTGTTCTCTATGTTTTTGTTCCAGTGGAGTAGGTGTGTCCTCTGTGTTTTTGTTCCAGTGGAGTATCCGTGTCCTCTGTGTATTTAGTTCCAGTGGAGTAGGCGTGGCCTCCGTGTATTTAGTTCCAGTGGAGTAGGCGTGTTCTCTATGTTTTTGTTCCAGTGGAGTAGGTGTGTCCTCTGTGTATTTAGTTCCAGTGGAGTAGGCGTGGCCTCCGTGTATTTAGTTCCAGTGGAGTAGGTGTGGCCTCCGTGTATTTAGTTCCAGTGGAGTAGGCGTGTCCTCTGTGTATTTAGTTCCAGTGGAGTAGGCGTGTCCTCTGTGTATTTAGTTCCAGTGGAGTAGGCATGTTCTCTATGTTTTTGTTCCAGTGGAGTAGGTGTGTCCTCTGTGTTTTTGTTCCAGTGGAGTAGGCGTGTCCTCTGTGTATTTAATTCCAGTGGAGTAGGCGTGTCCTCTGTGTATTTAGTTCCAGTGGAGTAGGCGTGGCCTCCGTGTATTTAGTTCCAGTGGAGTAGGTGTGGCCTCTGTATATTTAGTTAGTTAGGAGGCGTGGCTTTTGTTGTCTGCCAGTCACAGTGAAGGAAGCGTGGCTTCTGTGTTTGTTAGTCCCAGGGAAGAAGTGGATTATTTTTGTTGGACGTGAGCCATTTTCTTTGCCGCTGTTTCATTGGTCATAAGTTGGTCATAAGTTCATTGGTCATAAGTTCATTGGTCACTGTGCTGAGATAGGTGGAGCTACACAACAAGGGGCGTGGCATTTAAAATATGCAGACCCAGTGGGATTCTCAAACCCATTTTGGTTCATTTTGAGACCTCAAGCATATCTTTGTACGTCTTGTCCCATTCCTAACCGGCCAGTTTCATAGAAAGCAACTTTCACAAATTCAACAGTCTTCAGAAAGGAGTAAAAACAGAAAACGCAAAAACGAATAATACAAGGATATGCCATAAAAGCATAAAAAAAGAACATTCGAAATAAGACGGTTTGAACATCATTCTGAGAAGAACACACGCTGAACAGTTGGTCGCTGCTGTTAACAGCACCGCAGAACCCCCATGATGGTATCAGGCTCGATCGATAGCTCATGTACTGTACACTCACTACGCCTTAACCAGGAACATCTCAAACCAGAGCCACTACAGAATTTCCAGCTATACAGCAAGTGACAAAAGTAATCATAAAGTGATGAATTTAATTAGTGAACATTCCCACGTTCAAAACGAGCCGATCAGAAGAACTCAACTGTTTAGGCTCAAATCGGCCAAATGATGCTTTAAGGTCATTTAAGATGCAAGATCGAGCCAGTAGCATCTTGTAAACAGCACTCACCACAGACCTCTATTACACAGAATGTATTGAAAAATAAATAGATTAAATACTGACCATATTGTCATCGAAATCATCACAACTGTAAGCGATTGTAAGCAGTTACAATGTAAAAGGACCAAATCAAAGGCTCATTAATACCTGAATTCATCAGTGAGGTGGACGCATCACTAGGGACATGTAGTTTATGTGTCCAGTCTGTTAATTTAATATACCCTAGGGGCCTGGTGGACAAGTTTAGGTAGGTTTAATTCATGTGGAACGTCTGCGAATACGTCTTTCCCGCTGGAGGAAAACGTATAACTTTACCACCGGCACTGGAGACTCCTTCCATAAATATTACATAAGCATGTCCTTACAGAAAACACTGGCACATCGATGACACTTTTTAGGAGCAAAACGAAACAAAAAACGGTTTGTTTGATAGAGTTATTATAGAAAAGATGTACTAGAATGAGCGTATTAAACTAAACCTGCGATTGGTCTTGTAGACAGAACTACTGTCAGAGCTGCTAATCAACGCTTCTGGCTTGTTCCGCGTCTCTGTGGAATACAGTTTGTCGGCTATTTCTTCAAGCCTAATTAATTTGGTTTCCAGGCAAGCAAAACACAGGACTTGTTTTTTTTTTTTTTTAAAGTTTAAATGCAATTTGATGTGGGGGGGTGTGTGGCTTAGTGGTTAGTACGCTTGCCTCTCACCTCTGGGGTTGGGGGTTCGAATCCCAACTACGAGCTTGCATGTTCTCCCCGTGCTTCGGAGGTTTCCTCGGGGTACTCCAGCTTCCGCCCCAGTCCAAAGACATGCATTGTAGATGAGCGATTGTGCCCTGTAATGGATTGGCACCCATCCAGGGTGTCCCCCGCATGTGTCCCGAGTTCCCTGGGATAGGCTCCAGGCTCCCCGTGACCCTGAGTAGCATAAGCGGTACGGAAGATGGATGGATGGATGGATGGATGGATGAAAAATAAATTCTCAGCCTGAATGCAGCTTCCCTTCCTGCGCACAGATTCATTAAATTACTCAAAGCATCAGAAGTAACACGGAAATCACCTAATTTGTAACTCATGAGAATTCACTCAGTATAAGGACTGCACACAGGACGTAAGGCTGCCTTTGACAAGTGTGTGCTCCCATCCCTCGCTCCTAACCCCCTAAATCTAAGTGCGTTTTGTCGGCTGCTAGGCAACCATCGAACGCTTTCCGTTCTGCCGAAGCATTACAGAGTGGTAACGAGCGTATCCGTGAAGTACTCTCCACCATAACATTTAACACCGGGCCTAATAGAAGGGCCGGGGTAGAACGCAGGGAGAAAAGGCGAAGAAGAAACAGAAGAGAAAGTGAAGAGAATGCAGACAGTTTGTTTTGTCAAGTCTGCACGTGACATCTTAGACAGCGTGCGAGGATCTGTGATCGGCAGTTTATCTCCTCGCACGCTGTGTAAGATGTCACGCTGGCGTTGCACCATGGAGGTTTCTGAGGGGCAGAAGGACGGACGGACGGACGGGTCGAAGTACGAGGGGGTTGTTTGCTTGTGTTTGCACCAGCAGGTCATGTTGGGGGTGCCATGGCTTGCTTGGTTGGGGGGTGTGGAAGGTGGATGGTTGGGGGCATAATAGTTATTCAATCATGATCCTGGAAGGAAGGAAGTAAACTAATCAACCGAAAACAGGTGAGCACAATCAGGAAAGAAGCCAATGACCTGAAGCCCATGAAGAACTAATAAGTGAAACGAACGAATGATATCATAGTGCGAAAAAGACAAATTAGCATTCCAAAGCTAAACTAGCGATTAGCGAGTAGCCGGCCTACTGTAATAGTATTATCATTTAAAAGGATCACGATCATATGAGGGATTAAACAATCCCTAGGCCATGCCCAGAGTTCTCATAGTGTTCTGATTAGCGAATTTCGCCGGTACCCGAGAAGTCTTCTTCGTGTTCTCATCTACGTAAAATCTACGTTCCAGTCGTCTCACCTTTCAGTACCAGCACTGACATTTTTTTTTTCATTCTGGTCTCTCAACGCTTTTTAAAATGTATTTTTGAACATCGTTTCATTTCCTTTTTTGTCCATTTTCGCCTCCTCGTCTCTTACTCAGCCGTCATCGTCCTTTCCCCCTCTCGTCGGTCTCTTTATTCATTTCACTTCAGTACATTTCTGTGCACTTCCTCAGAGACCGTTTCCTTTCCGGCCAAGAAAAGGTTTTTTTTTTTTTTCCCTTTTCAAAACCGGGCATGCTTTTATCTCATCACCCGATCTCATTCGGCAAGTTTAAACTCAATGCTCACTCTCTCAGCTCGAATCAATTCAGTGTGCTTAAGTGCAATTAGCAGGAATCAAACCTGTATCTCTCTCACTTTTTAATTGATTGGCTCTGAGTTTCATGTAAGATTTATTTTTGTGTGTTAAATCTAGAGTTAAAAGATCAAATAAGTGGTACTTCTGATAATGGAACATCTGCTAGACGTCCACATGTCGGACACAGACAGAGAAATATTTCTTTGGTTTAATACATACTCCGATTCAGCTTTTTATTCCTATTTTAATGCACATTTAAAAAAAAAAAAAAAGTATTTCTAAAAAAATCTTTTTTAATTTCATATATATTGTGTTGGGTTTTTTTTGCTGTTACCTTAATTAAATCTTAACAGATTGTCAGAAGTAAAACATAACATCATCAATATTACTATCAAAATCAATCAATCAATAATTAAAGAGAAAGTAAAATAATGATATAAATATTGTACACAGATGATTGTTTACTGTTGACTGATTCAAAATGATTTTCCCGAGACGTGGACTATTATTTTATGTGACATCTTTGTACTTTAGAAATAAAATTAATAAGCTTCCTATGAGTAAAATTATTATTATTATTATTATTATTATTATTATTAACTCTCTTTTCTTGAACGCCTCTCAGACCGCAAGTTCCTGATCGCCAACGCCCAGATGAAGAACTGCGGCATCATCTACTGCAACGAGGGCTTCTGCCAGATGTTCGGCTTCTCGCGGGCCGAGATCATGCAGCAGCCGTGCACGTGTCATTTCCTTGCAGGACCGGGCACCATGAAGAGCGCTCTGGCTCAGCTGGCCCAGGCCCTGCTCGGCTCCGAGGAGCGCAAGGTGGAGATCCTCTACTACTCCAAAGAAGGTATGCACTGGAAGAGAGGAAGGGAAAGAGGGAAGAGCGGGAGAACAGCAGATTGGCCAGTGTTGCTCTGATTGACAGGAGAGAAAGCGTATGCCCCTCCCACTCAGACAGCACACCACGCATGGTTTCTGCTGTATCACTCAGGACCGGCCTGGTCTTTACTGCTGGTTCAGAACAATAAAAACATAAAAATACACACACTGCCATAACACACACACACACACACACACACACACACACACACACACACACACACACACACATTCAGATGTTATTAATGGGCCATTGAGACATATTTCTCAGACCTGTGTTTATAATTCCCAGTACTGCTCCTAGAGCTTTTATGACCCTGTCTAGTGTGTGTGTGTGTGTGTGTGTGTGTGTGTGTGTGTGTGTGTGTGTGTGTGTGAGTGTGTGTGTACTTGTTATAAAGTGGACCGGTGTTCCTTAGTGGTGTAGCAGTGCATTAAAAATTACCATGACAACAGGACTGCTGAAACTGTACCACTCTTGCTCTGACCACTGAACTAGGAAACACACACACACACACACACACACACACACACACACACTTCTGTTTTGGTTAGTATTTCGTTTCATTTAAAATGTTGAGACAGAAAAGGCTGCCTCCGTGTGTGTGTGTGTGTGTGTGTGTGTGTAAAGATGGGGTCTATATTTAGAGTACTTGGTGACCGATTGAAGTGTATGTGTGTTGGGGGTAGGGGGGTAGGGGGGTGGATGCTTGTAGCTGAGAGGCTAATCACGCTGTTGCATCTGTTTTTTCTTCCCTTTCACTGCCACTCGTTCCTCCTCCACCGCTGTCCCCCTCTTTGATCTTCACTCCTCATACATTTCGTGACTTCTCTTTTTTTGAAGCGATTGTATCGGTCCCGCTTTCCATTTTCATCACTTTTATCTCTTCACCATCTCCAAAACAGCCATCTCAAAAAACTCCCCTCCATTTCGGCCCATTTGTCACTTCTCGCTCTCTCTCTCGCTCTCTCTCTCGCTCTCTCTCTCGCTCTCTCTCTCTCTCTCTCTCTCTCTCTCTCTCTCTCTCTCTCGTCGCCTCTTTTTCCATCTCCGTCTCTTCCTCTGTCTCAGGCTCGGTGTACATTCCTCCCGCTGAGTTAAAGCAGGTTTCTCTTGTAAATGTGACAGTTTATTCCCTTTTTTATGGGGAGTAGAGAAAATGTTCCATAATAAGATTTTTTAAATATATATATATATATTTTTTACTGCATTCCGAGAGGCTTGTCAGCTCACACCTCACGCTTTAAAACCTTTTCACACCAGAACGCATTCAATTCAGTGTGCCATCAAGTGCCATCTGAAAAGACCTTTCTTCTTTCCTGTGCTCAGAATGGTAGAAAATCAGTGGAAGAGAAAACTATGGGTCCAGTCCAGAAATATGAATGTCATGCACTCTGCAAACAACCTGCTCACATCCATCCATCCATCCATCCATCTTCTACCACTTACTCCTTTTCAGGGTCACGAGGAACCTGGAGCCTATCCCAGGGAGCATCGGGCACAAGGCGGGGTACACCCTGGACAGGGTGCCAGTCCATCGCACCCTATATATATATATATATTTATTTATTTCATGTGGGTTTTTTTTTTGTTTGTTTTTTTACACTTTTTTGGCCACACGTTTCAGGTTGCAATCAGATTGGCTGCACACTTCCATTTTTAGGCAATGATACAAACATTTGAACAATTGAAACGCAGCCAGCTTCCAATCTGTGCCGATGATATCGAGCATAACTTTCCGAGAAACGAACGAAAAGCATAACCGAACAGTCTGAGACTTAATTTTAAATGTAACGCGGCCTTCATCCATCCATCCATCCATCCATCCATCTTCTACCGCTTACTCCTTTTCGGGATCACGGGGAACCTGGAGCCTATCCCAGGGAGCATCGGGCACAAGGCAGGGTGCCAGTACGCAGTCTTCAATTAAACATCATTCTTTGTTAGCAGTTTTCTAAGCTTCCTTGTTGCTAATAAAGGTTTCCGAACACGCTGCCGGAGTTTTCGTTTACGCTTTCAGACTTTTTTCCTTTCAGGCTCCGCAAGTTTACGTTCGTCATCCTGGCACAAACCTGACGTGTGGGCGGGGCATGACAGCGCTTTTACTAGTGAGATTGGGATCGCTGAGAAGGAGGAGGATGACGTTGATGATTTCGGGAAAAAAAACTAGCGGTATGAGACGACCCCAGCCTCAAACGTTAATTACGAACTAATATACTGACTAAGTAAGTAAGTCATTTCCACTACAAAGTACAAACACTATAACTATACCGAGACCCGCATTCCAGAACGCTCTCCAGAACTCCTGCCACTGCAGACTCTACTCCCTGTTCAGGGAGCTATCGATCCAAATCTCACTAGCCAATGAGAGTAAATCACTGTTGAGCCCCGCCCACGCGAGAGATCCGTGCCAGAATGACGAAGGTAATCTTGCAGAGTGTAAACGGAAACGTGTGTCTCGCAGCACGTTCGTAAAAACCACGCTTGGCGAACGTTAGAAAACGGTTCACGGAGAACACCGTATACGATCGCCGGATTAAAAAACGT